AAAACTGCCCCAAACTGCCCCAAACCTGCCCGAATCTGTCCCAAAAACCTGCCCAAACCTGCCCCAAAAAACTGCCCCAAACTGCCCCAAACCTGCTCGAATCTGTCCCAAAAACCTGCCCAAAAGTGCCCGAAAAGCCTGCCCTGTGCCTGCCCCAAACCTGCCCGAATCTGCCCCAAAAACCTGCCTGAATCTGCCCAAAACTGCCCCAAACTGCCCCAAACTGCCCCAAAAACCTGCCCCAAACCCGCCTGAATGTGTTCCAAAAACCTGCCCGAATCTGCCCAAAAAACCTGCCCGAAACTGCCCCAAACCTGCCCCAAAATTCTGCCTGTGTACCTGCCCTACACCTGCCCCAAAGTGCCCTAAACCTGCCCCTCCCCTGCCCCTCCCCTGCCCCTCACCTGCCCCATATTTGCCCCACACCTGCCCAGGTACTACGCAGCCGTGGAGGCCAAGAAGGAGCAGAGCAGCAAACACGCGCAGAGCTTCGGGGCGCGGCAGCCCACCATGGGGGGCTCCAACCCCGGGCAGGTACGGGGGTCCGGAGGGGCTGGGGGCTGCCCCGAGGGTCCCACTGACCCCATGCCTGTACAGCAGGGTCTGGAGGGGCTGGGGGCTGCCCCGAGGGTCCCACTGACCCCATGCCTGTACAGCAGGGTCTGGAGGGGCTGGGGGCTGCCCCGAGGGTCCCACTGACCCCATGCCTGTACAGCAGGGTCTGGAGGGGCTGGGGGCTGCCCCGAGGGTCCCACTGACCCCATGCCTGTACAGCAGGGTCTGGAGGGGCTGGGGGCTGCCCCGAGGGTCCCACTGACCCCATGCCTGTACAGCAGGGTCTGGAGGGGCTGGGGGCTGCTCTGGGCAGGTACGGGGATCTGGAGGGGCTGGGGGCTGCCCCAGGGGTCCCACTGACCCCATGCCTGTACAGCAGGGTCTGGAGGGGCTGGGGGCCGCCCCGAGGGTCCTGCTGACCCCGGGCAGGTACAGCAGGGTCCGGAGGGTCTGGGGTCCATCCCGTGGGTCTCGCTGACCGCGGGCAGGTACAGCAGCCGCCGCCTGCCGCAGGTGCGCACCCCGCAAACCTGCCCGGGGCTTGGGGGGAAAAACCGGCCCGGGGGTTGGGGGGAAAAACAGCCCGGGGTTTGGGGGGGAAAAATACCTGCCCGGGGTTTTGGGGGAAAAAACTGTGGGGTGTGGAGGAGCCTTGCTCTGTGTTCCCTCCACGTTCTTTCCCTCTTCCTTCCATGTTCTCTCCGTGTTCTCTCCATATTCTTTCCATGTTCCCTCCATGTTTTCTGCGTCTTCCCCTTTGCATTCTCTCCACATTCTCTCCTTTGCATTCCCCCTCCACATTCTCTCCATGTTCCCCCTCCACATTCTCTCCATGTTCCCCCTCCACATTCTCTCCATGTTCCCCCTCCACATTCTCTCCATGTTCCCTCTCCACATTCTCTCCGTGTTCCCCTTCCATGTTCTCTCCATCTTCCCCTCCACAATCTCTCCACGTTCCCTCTACATTGTCTCCATGTTCCCCCTCCATGTTCCCCCTCCATGTTCTATGTTTCCCTCCATGTTCTCTCCATGTTTCCCCTCCGTGTTCCTCCTCCATGTTCTCTCCATGTCCCTCCATGTTGTTTTCCATGTTCTTTTCACGTTCTCTCCGTGTTCCCTCCATGTTCCTTCTCCGTGTTCCCTCCATGTTCCCTCCCTGTTCTTTTCACGTTCTCTCCATGTTCTCTCCGTGTTCCCTCCATGTTCCCTCCGTGTTCCCACCACATTTCCCCTCCATTTTTCCCCCTTCCCCAGGTGCTGCAGCTCTCGGACCTGCTGCAGCGCGGCATCGGCGTCCACCACGGCGGGGTGCTGCCCCTGCTCAAGGAGATCGTGGAGATGCTCTTCAGCCAAGGGCTGGTCAAGGTGTGTGGGGTGTGGGACGCAGGGTTCTGCCCCATGGCGTCTCCCCCAGCCCCAAACCTGCCCCGAACCTGCCTCAAACCTGCCCCAAACCTGCCTCAAACCTGCCCCAAACCTGCCCCAAACCTGCCCCAAACCTGCCCCAAACCTGCCCCCAACCTGCCCCACACCTGCCCCAAACCTGCCCCAAACCTGCCCCAAACCTGACCCAAACCTGCCCCTA